CTGATGCTCGGTTTGAACTGCAGGAGATTGTCTTGACCATGTCTACATGCCTAAATGCACTGAGTTGCCGCCATGTGATTGGCTGCTTAGAGATTAAGTGTTAACGAGCAGTTGGACAGGTGTACCTAATAAAGTGGCCGGTGAATGTATATATATAATATATATATATATATATATATATATATATATATATATATATATGTATGTATATGTCTTCTTAATCCAGATTAACCTCACTGTAATCTTGGAATTAAAAACTTCAAATAACTTTTTATATAATATTTTTTTTAAAACTTTGTTTCGCAAGTCAGTTTGACCAAGATTCCATTCTGTGTAGGCTTTTTTTCCCCCGTATTGCTGTTCAAAAAAACTGTAACTGTACTTTTTCAATAAATCAACTTATTATATTATAGGTTCAAAGAGACACAAAATCTTGTTTTCATTAAACCCACTGGTAGTCTGTTTTGCTCAAATAGAAATAGAGGCCTGCCTTTATTCTGGCCTCCTTCCAATAATGGCCAGGACCAAGATGCACCTGAGTGAAAAAAGGGCCCCTCCTATATCAGAGGATTTACGGTATCTCATTAACTTTCAAATTAGATATATATTACAAGCATGTGGGATTTATAATGTAATTTTACTGGTCAATGGCATTTTTGCTATTCAATCCCTTTGAGCACAAGCTATAAAAAGATGGATTAACAACACACTTTGTATAACTGCAGCCATCAGTATTAACATCAATGCAGCCCTGGGGCCGATAGCCAGCGGCTACCACAGCAGGTTCAAACCTCCATAGAAATGGTCCATTTCTTAACGCGATTCCCCGTTTCCACAACATCTTAAGGTCCCACTTCTCCCTCACTATCCTGCAGGCTTTAGTCCTAAAATACCTGGTAGCTCCATGGATCTGCTCAGGGGTTGTTCAGGGACGCCTCCATGCTACCTGGTATGGCTGCCCAGCGTTATGGAGTCTATGTGCTGGCAGGAAGCCGACCTGGACCGTACTGTATAGCTAGTTGTCCTTTATCAATATTCTGACATTTAGAGTGTTGTGTCGAGAGGTGGAAGCTTTGGAGGCAGCCATGCTGTCCGCGAGCGACCCCTGATCAGAGACATGGAGGGACCGGGCATTTCAGCCACCAGGATGGGGAGGGAGACCAGGGACTGTATGATAATCCGAATGCCTGTTGTGGAAACGGGGAATCACGGTTGATGATTTAATACCTGCAAACATAAATGTTTGGGTCTATTCTATGCCTGCTTAGCGTGTTTTCCTATCCTGTCATTTTGGCTAATTGTTTACGCTGACCAGCTGTTGGGAGTGTGCTGGTCGGTCAGTAAAGCCCAACTTATAGGCGGTGAAATTAAAAACTCTCAGAGGAGTTTCATGCTTTAGCTGGTGTTCTGTCAGATCAGCATACCCCATCAGACAAGAATACCCACAGTAATGCATGTGCGCGCCGTCAGGTCGCCGTACGCTTCAAAAAACACCAAAGAGTAAGTAATTAAATTGTTTGGGTTTTTTTGTACCTAAGTAAAAGAACTCACGCCCATTGAGATAGTTTAAAGTTTATTTAGAGAAGGGTCTAGCTGCACCTGCAGCCATCTACAAAACCCCCCTTACACACCTCCCGCCCAGCCAATCGATGATATTGATTTAGACATTACGTCATCTTTGATGCAGCGCCTTGGCGGAGCAGAAGGAAGGGAATCAAATGTGAGCAAGATGCCTACTACTAGCAAAGTGGTAGTTGGCCCTTAAAAAAATAATAATCTTGTTCAATGTTGGGATTAAAGGAATAGTTTAATCGCTGATCAAATTGCTGTAAAAGTTTGCCACGTATTTTATTTTCTTATATCATGTAATTTTCCAGGGAATGCACATGCTTTAAATATTAAAATGATAATGTTAGAAATTGCATTTCTAAGTTGATTTGTTGTGAAGTAGCAAACACAGAAAGCGAGGCTGTCTGTGATTAAGCCAGTTTAACTTTAAATTCTGTTTACCTCAGACTGTTTATTACATCAAGTATCCTAGTAGCCTTCCTGTATGTTATTCTCTTAAATTTGTGGTAAGTTTATGCCGATTCTACAGTTATAGCACATGTGTAATGACTATGGGTAGCTATAATATAATTATTGATAACAGTAAGACACAGTATCTTGTGAATTAAGTTAGTTTGGTTAAATGTTTTATTTCCACTTTAAGAGGCTGAAAAAGTGGCTTTTAACTCGATTCTGTGTTTTCCTCGTTAGCATGAACAGTTTAACAGAAGAAGTTACCCAAACACACTGGAGGAGGAACTGTGGGGATGTTCTTACCCGATTTGTTAAAATCGATGTGGCCTTCTGGACCTTCAAAAACTAGCTTGACGTTGCTTGTCAGGTTGCAGAAAACCGCGAGGACAGTTTGTGCTCCTGCTGAGTCGTTGATGCATACGGAATGTTGGGAGAAGAACACGGAGGACAGGTTACAGGGAGCCAAATCTGAACCACCTCGGGCCCAGAAATGTCCCCTGCTCTGATGTTCATCGTACAGGATCTGAATATTTTTAGCCTCAG